AAAGCAGGCGGCCATGGAATGGTACAAAGAGTACAAAAACAGAGTCATGTTCATCTGTTATTTTTGGTGCAGTCTTATTCAAGATTTCTTTAAAATAATCAGGTGTTAACTGTGGAGAAGCTACAGTATGGCTACATCATTTTGTCACTGTTTAAGCGACACTTGATTAATAAAGCTCAATTAATGTTACACATGAATATCCTGTTTTTAGTGTATTAATTAACCGGTGGTTTTACAGGGGTGTTATGTCACCAGACTTATTTGGTGATTACTTGTTTGTCAGCCATGGGTTGCCAGACAACCCCAGTGGGACTCTCAGGTAGTTACAGTGAGTGGTTTTAAAGCTGCTATTATCATGTCGAAACAGAGGCCAGGCTAGCAGTTTGCCCGTGTTGGGCAGTCTTTATGCAAAGCTAAGTTAAAGTGGTTGCTGGCTGCACTACTTACAGATATTAAGAGTGGTTGTTCAATCTTCCTCTCTAACTGCCCAATAAAATTTAGGAGGTAGATGAGAAACATATTTTTCACAAAATGTTGAAGTAATCCTTTTTTAATGATAAAGTACAATGTCATTTTCTAAAACAAATCTTTCGGTTACAGATCTTACAAAGTTTAAAAAGTTAATCTCACCCCTTTGCCGCCATCTATGAATATTGTACAACAGGAAATTGGACACATCATTCAACCAATGAATAAAAACGTTTGACTGTGGGCAGAAGAGTCGGTTTATAATACCCTCCCCTAATTCTGAGCGATGGTAATAGTGCTACTCTGATGTTAAGTTCAGGAAGACCGAAGAAAACACAGTGTGAGCTCAAAATAGGATACTTCTAAATACTTCCTAAAGCATTTTTATTTGTTCAACTGGCGGAACTTTGATGTCCACAAGTGGCACACAAAGTATTTCTGCATTTGGTTTGTGCTTTTTGTCACAGAGAAGTTTCCTCATTGACTGACAGCACTTAATCTGAAAGTCAGCATCTGGAAATCTGGACACAATGAGCCGTCCACAGGGCTACATAAGGTAATAACAGTGAATGTAATAAGCTACATATTACTCAAGTACTGACTTATGGACCCAGCTTTTATGCACTTTACTTTTATCTCGTTAAAGACGACAGTTCCAACAATATTCGCAGGTTTTAATCAGAAGAGAAGAAAGCAGAGAACAAAGAGGAACGATCCATGAAGGAGAAAAAGTTCAATTATTCTTTGTCAATAATTTGCCAGAAGTGAAACTCATATATATATATAGATCATTAACACTAGGGGAGTGAAATATTGCAAGGCCTGGCTATTGTATTTCTTGTAATTTTGATGATTATGGCTTACAGATAATGAAAACCCAAAACTCAGTGTCTCAGAAAATTAGAATATTACATAAGATCAATAAAAAAAAGGATATTTTAAACACAAATGTCAGGCTTTTGAAAAGTATGTTCATTTCTATGCACTCAATACTTGGTTCGGCCTCCTTTTGCATGAATTATTCCATCAATGCAGCGTGGCATGGAGGTGATCAGCCTGTGGCACTGCCGAGGTGTTATGGAAGTCCAGGTTGCTTTGATAGCGGCCTGGACTTAAGGGTCATCTGCTTGGTTGGGTCTGGTTTCGTCCGACTTTGGAGGAAGACCTTCGGATTCCGAATGAAATGCAAACTTCACTTTCATCTGCAAAAGGAAACCTTTGACCACTGAGGCAACAGTCAATCCCTTTTTCTCTTAGCCCAGGTAAGACCGCTTCTGAACAGTTGTACCCCATGTCCTGGATAACATCTGTGTGTGGTGGCTCTTTGATGCACTGACTTCCAGCCTTGGGTCCCACTCCTTGGGCAATGTCCCCCCAAATTTTGAATGGGTTTGTTGTCCATCTCAAGGCTGCGGTTATCCCTGCTGCTTGTGCACCGTTTTCCTACCATCATTTTTTCCTGCCACCTCATTTTCTATGAATATGCTTGGATAATTCAGCTTTCTTTTAGCAATGACCTTTTGTGGCCTTTACCCTCCTCTGCTGGAGGCTGGCAAATGACTTGTCCTTTTCTGCACAAACTGTCAAAAAAAACCAGCAGTCCTTTCCCCCTGATTTGTGTAGCCCTTACTGAACCAGACCCATTGAAGATTGAAAGACATTTAAAGGCTCAGGAAACCTTTTTGCAGGTGTTTTTTGAGTTAATTTAACTGATTAGAGTAACAATTGTGAATGTACAATCATCATGAAACTATTAACCAATTATTCTAAATTTTCCTTGAGATACTGGAATTTTTTGGGTTTTGTTTAGCTGTAAGCCATAATATCAGAAATTAAAAGAAATAAAGGCTTTGAAAATATTTTCACCTTGTGTGTATGAAATCTACATAAATATGAGTTTCAGTTTTTTTGAATTGAATAACTGAAATAAAATAACTTTCTGAGATTCTAATTTATTGAGATGCACCTGTATATTAGGCAAACACAATACTTGTTAGTAGGAAACATTCATTTTTGGGTTTGACTTTTCATGGGATTTGTTGAATACAAAAAATATAAAACGTCACCAGATGTCCACACAGAGGTATATGGGAAGTATACGTACACTGCTAGAGTTACTATGGCGGTGAACAGCTGTATGGTTTTCAGCACTATTCAAATCTCCAATGAACTCCTCACACCTCTGGCAATAGAATCCAATTACTGGTGTCAGAAAACTCATTCCTGTAAATGGACAAAAACATTAGTGGAGCATATGGAGTATTTTAGAGGAAGACAGACAGGGGTTTCATTAGAGAAAACTGCTTTACCATCCTGTTTCAACAATCCTTCCATTTCTTTCATCAAGGATTCCATTTTAATCATTATGGCTTGTTTCTCTCTCTTCCTTTCCTCATTGTCACCTATCTGGGAAACACAAGTGACAATTTCAAAATTAGGGTTTTGCCATTCTTTAATGTCAACACTCAAATGTTGTCAATGACACAGCTTGGAAATCCTTTACCTTGCTTTGATTACAGGATATCTGAGTTGTGCCACTGCCATCTCTTTTTGCCCGCTTCTCCTTTGTCGCTAAAGGAAGACGGAACAACAAAGTAATCCTGTATTCTATATCAAAAGCATTAAACAATAAAGACAGAGAAGAGAAATCAACTGACCAGGTGGCAGCAGTTTCCAACTTATTTGGTACACCTCCAAGTTTAGAAGTCACACAAACAGATCCAATATATTTCGTATAATCTAAATGACTACCATAATTCAGCAAGTAAATTCACATCAAAATAAACAAAACATTGACCATGTATCCACACTTGATTTTACAGATCAGCAGACTTGTTTACATCAGGTGACTGTCATCTTAACATCTGAGGCTGGCATAGTTCTGTATTTTATTCATTGTCAACAAATCTCATGGAAAGACCAAAACCAACAATGTGTTCTCTCATTAAGTCTCTCAATACTTTCTGATTCTGTCTCTGGCAGATTCACAAATACAACAAGGGAAGCTAATATAGTTTCATTAAAAAGGCCTATTCAATTCCTAAAACATCTGGGCTCTGCAGTTTTTGTTGGAAACTATTTTCAGCTGCTGACTAGTGCGCATTTGTTTCACAAATAAGTATATTCTAAAGCAGGACAACATACATTCAATCTTTTGATTGATACCAGTACCATTATTTATTATGCTCATATTCTTTTCCGATTCCCTTATTAAATCTTGATCAATTTCATGTGTGGATAAAGGTAGGCCTACAAAGGTTTTCAGTGTGAATGTGTCAAATTTGATGTCACTGCTTTGCAAAAGCCCAACTTTCACAGAAATGCATGCAGGCATCGATAAAAGAAATTGATAAACTCAGTGGCATAAGATTCTGATGGATTGGATGATTTGGAACCAGTTTTCAACTGGAACAGGTTCTCGATTCCCATTTCCAGGGTTGACTTAAAATGTACTAGTGTGGGTAATGAAAAAAACTGTCATCTGTCAATAAATTATTGGTTTAGGTCTTTTTTTATGTGATCATGACATTATAGATGCAGTTCAAATTGTTGGCATAAACAAAAGTCAATTAAAGCCTCAAGCAGTGTTGAACAGGCCCTCGCACTCGGCGCATGTTGGGGTGTGCTGCGGCTGCGTCACGTGCCGCTGTAACACGTGAACATTTCACGTAAATCATTTCATGTTCAACGGAATGTCGTAAATAGCACA